AACAACTTCTTAATGCATAATATTTGATGAACCAATACTTGCAAAGTTAAAAAAACATTATAGGAATGGTGTACAAATATTAAACAAACTCTATGAAAAAAAAAGAAAAATCTTATAATTCCCTTGGCAAAGTATTTATTCTACTAAGCAGTGGTTGTTTGTCCAGCGCTATTACTCATGCAGAGAAATGAAGTCCATGGTAGCAAAAGTCAGGTAACACTAGTTGACGCAATACCTAGTTCATACCATTCAGAGGCCATCCAATCATGAGAGAGAACATGTTATACTTTTTTTATTCCGGAAATCAATATGAATCTTGAATCTGAGCGATTCAGAATTCGTTTAGTCACTCATGGCCAAAATAATGCACCGCGCCAATCAATCAGCTAAACCTTGACTACATCTAATCCGTTCGAGTTGAGGCCAAACTTAGTATTATTTTGGCAGTAAATTATTCAAAGAGTGAATTCAGAAAAATTGCAAGGCCAGAACGGTTTCTCCATTATGCTCCAAGTTTTTCAATTGAAGATAACAAGCAAAAATAACTTTTTCAGGCTTTGCTTTCATTAAAAGTGGACTGACCTAGTTTTTGCAACTTGATTGTGTTGTCGGGGGGATTTAGTTGGATGCACTTTATCCGAAATCCCTTGCTACGATAGTTGACATAAGTCCCAGCGTTTATATTCTCCTCCTTTTTAGGATTAGAATATAAATAAGTCAGAAGTTGTGATAGGGTGGGAGTGTGAGCAGAGGGTAATGAGTAGCTAGATGCGCCAGGATAGAAAGAGCAGTGACAACATGACCGTTTTGGCAGAAGATTGGTCAAAGGATTGACTTCAATTGTCTATTTGACAAGTTGTAACTGAAGTTGGTGTTGAGAATGACAAGAATCACTGACGATGCCGATGCAATGCCTGAGAAAGTACCAAGTGTACGGTCCGAAGCTGGGAATTATGTTAACTACTAAAGCAGAAGTCTCGTACAAGGTACGTCCAACCAAGTCCTCCTGGTAACACGACCCGATTGCGAAAATGAGGTCAGCCCATTTCTATACATCTAAAGAAGACTGCGAACATACCAGAGGTCACACTATCTTGGTCTTCATATATTTGCTTTCAGTCTTACAATTTCTTTTTCCCTGGAGTACTTAAGTGCTTAAATCCCTGTGCGTCTAAGAAAAAGCTGCAAGTTAAGACTTTTTCTTCTAATCGTTTAAATTAGGCCTACCAAAGAAGCATGGGAATTTGCTTGCTGCTGCCCATAATCTCAATTTACTTCTCCAGACTGGAGAAAGCAATGAATAATCTTTATAGCCAACCAGCTGTTTCCTGCTTAAAATAGTATTTTATTTAATTAAGTAAAAGTATTGTACAGCATTATATAGCCAACCAGCTGTTTCCTGCTTAAAATAGTATTTTATTTAATTAAGTAAAAGTATTGTACAGCATTATATTGAATTTGAGTCGTAAGATCGACACTGCACATTTGCATAAGCATGACTAATAATGGAAACAGAATAATAGTTTAAAGCCTTATTTACACAAATGAAAATAAAGATCTCAAGATCAAAAATTAAAATGGATAATACATACCAGCAGGTCTTTCCGAGAATCGCTGTTCACTCTTTGAGATTTTATAGGCACACGGCCCACCTGATCTGGGCAGCCGGCGCCGTTGCCGAGCTGGCAGGCTAGGCATATTCTCACCAGTTCCTTCGAGCTCAAACGCAGGCCAGACCTGATGCTGCCCATAATGATGAAGAGAGTGGTCTGAGGGCTGATTGGGCTGTAGCATGCTTCTTCTAGCCTGAAGGCCGGTAACGTTGTGACTCCTATCCGCTTGTCTTCCTCTCTCATCATCATCATCATCTGCTTGTTCATTTTCTTCCATAACGTCTCCTTCGGTATCTCCCCCACATTCCCCTCTTCCTCTTGAGTCCATTGCTCCTTCAACACGACGGTCTGAAGCAGAAAATCTATCCATTTGCATCCGCAAAGGTGGTGCGCCATCAATAAGGCATAGCCTATCAGCCTGATGCCACTGCGAAAGGAAGTTCCCGGAATGATGCGCTTGGTGTGTGATCGGAACTTGCTCTGCCCGGCCCAATGAATCCGAGGTGGCAAAGTCAAAATCACAAACCTCGCCATTTCCATCGCTATAGGAATGATTGGCAACGTCCACGCCACAATCCAGTGTTTCGCCAAGAGGAAATTCGAGTCTTGGCTGCATACTGGCAGATGAGGAGGCTTCGGGAAGACGAGCACGTGAAGATAGTTGACGAGAATTGGCTGGGTGTGTTGGCCGGACCTGTAGAGAAAATGGCTAGAGAATGAGAATATTTGACAGGAAAAATGTATAAATAAGTTAGGTTACTAGGGCAGAAGCATTTGGGCCGCATTTGGTAAATGTGGCCAAAGTTAGCTGCGCCAAAATTTGAGATGATCCCAATTCACAAAATATAGCCTCAAAGCATGCTCACGCACCCTATATAATTACCCATTAATGGAGTACTTTATCCAAGAGGGGACTTGTAAGTTCGATATCCGAATTAATTGTTGATGGACAAAAAATAAAAAGGTTTTGTTTTATAAGCCTGAGCCTGTCTTTCTTTGTCTATTAGATGAAGTTATCCTCTTAAAGGCAGAAGTTTTACCGAAAGTCACATTAGGACCCCGTAACGCTCAGACCTAAGAAAGTATGGCTAAATTCTCAATAATAAAGTAATTAGTTCAACCTGCAGTTAGCCAACATAGCTACAAAGGCAATACAAAGAAATGCAAATGAAATTAGAATTAATAGAAAAGCAAACGAGAAATTTAATGAAACCGCTAGGTAAATAGATAGTTAAATGATTAATACGAATGATTTATTGATAAGATATTATGTGATGCATCTGTAGCATAGTTTTTAAATTGCCTTAGTAAATAGTTTTAGATAGTCACCTTAATAACCATAGGCGGCTTAAGTGGATGGCTCTAGATAAAGATATATTAGAAGAAAAGTATCGGTATCTACCTAGAGCAGACATCTCATAAATGTTCATTTAATTTAACAAAAAATATGAAATGTTAAAATCTAAAAGATTTATTAAGATTTGGTCACATGCGCAAAGAAGACAAGATTACTTAAAGTATATAACTCGATAGTACTAGCAAAATTGAGTAAAGGTAGATAATGTAGGTGAAAATACTATGTTAAGAAAGTTGGCTATGATGCTTGAACTGAAGGCAGGGTCCATGTTACATCATTAGAAGCCTTAAATAATTAGAAAATGTTACAGATCCCGCAGGAAATGACGATGCCTAAACTTTTATGAAATGACTTGTGGAATAAAATTTATTAGCAGGAGATTACAGCTTTTAAAATACAGTTTGGC